TTTGCTGTTTTGGCCATAAAAGGAAGCCGAAGGGTCATGATCAGGGAGTAAAAAGGTAATTAACTGTTATTAAGCTCACTTTTTTATAGATTATATTTCACCACTCGCAAATTTGTGTTTTCTTACGGTGCGATGTCAACTGGTACCTAATATGTTCACCCTTATGATGAAAAATACCTGCAAATTTTCACCTTCATATTCGAATTATTTTTGGACAACTGTCTTACAGTCTGAGTGCTTCGTACGCCCTGGGAGACTAGATTCCTACATTATTCGTAGTTCCATTATAACTTTCTCACACAGTAAGTTCAAATTAGACACTAGTCTTTCTAAATAAGCCTTTTAAGCTAATATCCGTATTCTCTATTTCAGTTAATCGATGAAGACATGTACCACGTGCATCTGCTGTATACTGCCATTTTACTCTAATTCTAACTGTTATATCTTACTTTTGAATAATAAAATTGCTATATGCTGCAAATACAGACTTATTTGTTTTGATGGAGGTAGGGGGGTTCATGGAATTTTCACTAAAGAGCTAAGCGAGTGCGTAAACCAGTGTAAGGTATCATACGGGGTGCATTTGAATTACTAGTGTTGCATTAGTGCGGGTAGGGGCATTGCTTGCTTGTCATATGGCATTTGAATTAGAAGCTATAAGATAAGAAGCAGGTACGGTTAGGATGTGTAACGCGTGTCCATCCATCAGCTGGCGTGACAACCCATGGTGGTTAGAACAAGCTATGAGAGGACCCGAGTCTGTAGGTCTCCCAAGGAAATGGCGAAGATATCCACCAAATCACCTTATGAAGAGCGCCTGCAATCACTTAACCTTCAGTCATTAGAGTATAGACGTCTTAGAGGTGACCTAATGGCTTACAATAACCGTAACACTCCTGTACATACCCTAAAACACCTAATTAAGCTTAGTTCCAACACTAACCTAAGGGGTAGCACCCAGAAACTAGAGACACAACATAGCAGAATGGACTGTAGGCACAACTTCTATCCCTTAAGAGTTGTCAAATGCTGGAACTCGCTGCCGGCCGAGCTAGTCCAAGCGACTTCGCAGGAGTCCTTTAAGAGGCAACTGGGTTTATTCTTAAGGACTAAGTATAGTATCATACTATGATTTACCGATTTCTTTTTCCTCTTTTATTGTTAACATACCTAGTTTCCTGCCTTGAGGTATTGGTGACCCCCCGCTACTAGACACGGAAGCCTGTTAAGCGAAAGCTTTTTCTATTCAGTCCACAACTATTTAAACACATGAACTAGGTGCTGAAAGGCTCGCTTATCACAAGTTTCTTGCAACGATTATGTAGATAAAACAAAGTAGCATTAGATTCAAAAATTTATTCAAGAACTTTCATTAAGAATCGAATATCAAACAAAGGTTTAAACCAAGTTTCCGTTTAAAAGTTGTATTGCTAATGTTAAGCTGCAGTTTTTGTTGTTTTTTTTCCAAACGAAAGAGTAAAAGAAGTCACAAAATACTTGAAGTGATTGTGAGACTAAAATGGAAGTCCAGCATCCTTTTTATCATCTGCTGTTCGTTGGATCTCCCGTAAACAGTTCCATAGGGCCATAGTTCCAAGGGCGAAACAGTTTTTAATGTCTGTGAAGGCTCACTACTGTTGCATTCTAAAGGAAAAATATTGATAAATTTAGTCAGAAATGTGGAATATATAAATAACTAAATCACATGTGTTTTAGCAAAGAATTTATGCAGTTATGATTTACCTTGAGTTCATGAATATTAGATAAGGTCAGCTACTATTACTTGCGCAAAGCAAAATGGTTCGAATGGTTCAAATGGTTGTGGACGGAATAGAAGAAGCTTTCGCTTAACAGGCTTCCGTGTCTAGTAGCAGGGGATCACCAAATCCTCCAGGCAGGAACCTAGGTATGTTAACAATAAAAGAGGAAAAGAAATTGGCAAATCATAGTGTGATGCTGTCCTTGGTCCTTAAGAATAGGTCAAGTTGCCTCTTGAAGGACTCCTGAGAAGTCGCCTGGACTAGCTCGGCCGGTAGCGAGTTCCAGCTTTTGACAACTCTTAAGGAGTAGAAGTTGTGTCTACATTCCGTCTTGCTATGTTGTGTTTCCAGTTTCTGGGTGTTACCCCTTAGGTTATTATTCGAACTAAGCTTAAGTAGGTGTTTAAGAGGATGTCCAGAAGTGTTAAGAATACTATAAGCCATTAATAAATCACCTCTAAGACGCCTATATTCTAGTGGGTAAAGGTCTAGTGAACGGAGGCGTTCTTCATAAGGCTTAGATTTGAGTCCTCGAACTGATTTCGTGGCTCGCCGTTGGATACGCTCCAAAGTGACCTTGTCCTTTTGGAGTGAGGGGGGAGTACTATGTTTCCGTACTCTAAGCATAACATGGGCTTAGTACCGTATTGCAATGCTGTTATTATTTTGCTCCCATTTAAGTATTCCCATGCATCTGCGTCTAGTTTAACGGGAAAACATACAAGCAGAGTAAGTGTCTGATAAACTAAAAATCCCAGTTGTCAAAAAGATTCTTAACATTTGTCCACAGCCAGCTGCATTTAATTGAGACACAGAACACTCATCTTCTAAGACTGCATACCGCTGTTTTGCGGGCAACTAAAAGCTCAGACGCTTAGCTAACTTGCTACCGATGTTATTGCTGGGGAAATTGTTTAATGACAGTGTTCATGAAATATGGTCAGTGATAGATGTACAGTTTAGAAATAAACACCAAACATACTTATCGCTGTCTTATAATGTATGACAGCAACAGCATCAAAGGCATGTTTTTTCCTATTTTTAATCAGACTGATCTGAATTCGTATACACATTGGAAACAGGCAACTCTACTTACTAAACTGATCTGTTTCGTTACAGGCTTCAAGCACGTGCTTGAATTATACGGCAACCAGGAACACTAAACTAAGCAAGTGTCATAGTTATTGTTTCACTTGTAAAGACATGTTGCTCAAAGTAGTTAAATGGATATAATTAAGCCGATAAAACCAAAACAGGAAATATAGGCCAGTTGAACTTACCTAAGAAAAAAAGAAGGATACATATATACTGCTTTCATACTGAAGACAACAGGCAGTTGTTCATAGAAACATGGTTTACAGTACAACGAACCTTTCTTCAGTAAAATCATACACTGACAGTCTATCTGGAAATAATCAACTATATGAATAAACTCACTATGACTTGAGATATCATCCCAGCGTGCAATGGACATACAGTGTAACGCAGTCGGACGTGGCGAATAAAAATTAAAAACAGATCAAAATTAACTACATAATCTGGTTATTTAATTAAAAATACATTATGAAATGGCAAAATCTGTGGTTGCTTGAACGCACAAACGACAGTGTGCGATACATTAAGTTTACATGGTTGCGTTGCGGATAAGATCACCCTACTTGTTAAGTGTGAGTTGGTAGTATGGATGGATTACATGCTCAATTTTGACCTGACAAAAATTACAACTAGAAAATTAAGTTCAACAAATAGACAAATCACTAAATTATAATTTTGTAACAGCTCTCTACTAATGATTGGAATAGAAACGTTAGCAACAACGAAAATCCAGTGAATAGGTTTGCGCAAGCCCACTTTATGGTACAGTTTGTGACGGTCAGGTTTCTGTCTGCTGTCGGTAAGTTGAGGGTTGGATCTCATAGACGGTCACTGGTATTCGGGATAAGAGTGCTTACCTCTGCACTGTTGTCGAGTACATCATCACATCACGGATGTGTAGCGTGGCGTCGAGTTGAGGTTATCTATGAACACCGCTACAAAGAGATACGTGCCAAGTATTTCAGAAGGCGCAGGTTGAACGTAACCAAATAAATCCATAAAATCCCCGAGAAGCCAAATATCAGAAGGCAATTAATGGACCAAATGGAGATATATTCTTAGGAGAATTTTGGAGTTTTGCGGTTATGATGAATAGACTGATAATGAGTGGGACTATTTCAGTTGTCTGCAATACCATTTTGTTTCATCTGAGGCTTTTCTTGGATGGAATGAACTCTCGTGCTGGAGGACCTGGTGACCTATAGAATCTGTTCAGCAGATGCAGTCATTTAGCTCAAGGCGTTATTTTGGGATGATACGAGGACCCAATCAGTAGATGGGAAACTTCGTTAACAAGAGCTGTCTGAAGAAGTCTTTGTTGAGGGTCCGCTGACAAATGGCAGCTGTATAAGTAGCGATGTTTCTGTTTCAGAACCTTATTACGATTCTATATTGTGGAACAACTGGTCTGACCTTTGTCGATCCGTTCGGTTTGAATGTTTAAGGCCGGCCTTTTTTAGGTGTCATGAGGTTCTTGAACATCACTAGTAAACATACTAATGTAGTGTACCTGGTCAAACCACATAGCTGCGCCCTAACCACCATTAAAAATTGTGCATGTGGAGCTGTTACACCGTGCTCGTGGGAGTCAGCTGTCGTTTTATAGAACCAGGATTCGATATTATTAGACCAGAATAGAGCGAGTTGAGACATGGGGGCGTAAGAGTCCTAATGAGTAACAGTTTGAGTGTTCGTTCCAAAGTCATGGTGATATGATGGATAAATAGGCTAAAAATCTGAGCATGCGAAAACAATATCACAATATGTAGAAAGATCTATATATCATGTTCAAACAAGGAACAGACTCACAGTTTATCGTTTGGTGTACCAGACCAGGTCGAACCCACTACTAAAGATGCCACATATATTCGAGGTACGACAATTGTTTTATCTGAAACAACATTATTATCGAGAGATACCATATCTATTGAGTTTTATTATAAATTTGAAGTGCAACTCATGAGCTTATAGGTTCATAAATTCACTTTTCAGCTTATTCTTATATCTTCCAAGTTTTTCACAAGACGGTGACAGTAAAAAGTATCTCGACACGAGGTGCAAACACACTAACAACCAAAGTCAACAATCATTTGTTAAAATAAGTATGCATTCAAGGTTGACACACATTTTACAGCAGGTATGAATCAACCGCGTATTTTCAAGCTGAGGTCAGGAAGCCGAAGTGTTCTCCATTGGATATTCTTAATTGCATCATTTGTCTTTCTAACAAAAGAATTGTCGTCATGAATTTTGAGGTTTAGCCCTTATTCACATTCAAATAAGGTTAATAATATGTTACATACTAATTAGAATGGGACATATGAAAACTTCCCTATAACTAAACTCCAATTAGGAAAAACATTAGACTATAATAAACTTAGCCTCAAAGTCACTCGCACAATCAGATTAGTCAATTGCTGTTTTGATATACGAACAATTGTTCGTGCAATTGTTATTACTAATTTAGAAGTAGTATTTCTGGGTTATATATTATCACAATATGCAATGATAAGAACTGACGTAGTTCGACTGCATGAAAATTTAATGCAACAATATCGTAAGCACAAACCTGATCAGTCTGTGCTAAAGGTGATTATAAAAGTATATTCATTTGTATAATAGCCTGAAACAGTAGATGTGTATTACTAATCAATACTTTGACATAACAAAATGTTTTGAATATTCATATTGCAATTACGTTCTAAAACTTTATAAAGCACGGCCAGTTAAATCAGGTCCTTCGTAACTGTTAGCACAGTAAACTGTAGTAAATCTTCTGTTTGTTGTAAAACCTTTCCACTCTAGAATTGTTTTTAGTACGTTTATAATATGGCCATTAGTTTCCTGCAAATAAATGGCTTAGCACCTGCAATAAGTGACACAATCAGTATTCACTTAAATAAGACTTCAACTCCTTGTTTATTCAGACATTTTCGTTCCTTAATTAGGTAGGAAGTAAAAAAGCAGTCAATTCGGATATGGGAATAAAAAAGGATGATACTTAAAAACTTTTGCCTTCCTTTGGAGTTGAAGAAATCTCAGCTATTCGTTAGTGGTTTTTGTTTTGGATTGTACGTACCAAATACCGAGGGCTTTAATCCACGTGATTTGCAGGATTTCATCCCCAGTTGTGAGACGTCTGGATTTTCATAACCAAGTTATTATCTCATCAATGTATGTGGCTTCACTGGGTTGAGATGTCATTTTGGCCTCGGGAATGCTTAGTAAATTTACCCACAATACTTCCACTGGGACTCAAATGCCCAGATCTATGGGTTCTAGGACTCCTGTCACTGGTTCACCTCAAACGTAAAAGTGCATTATGATGCGAGATAATAATAAATCACGGTCATTTTTACTGTTGCACTGAATCGTACGAAGTGCATTTTTGTTTGCTTTTTCCAGAACCCCGTGTTTGAATATAGACGTAGGGTCTCATTCACATAATCTTGTTCAAAACAAGCCTTCTGTGCTGATGGAATGTGCAAAATCATAGACTATTGTTTTTTTTTTCTTTGTATGGGAACTAGAAATGCATATGGAATTCATAAATTAAAATAAGTTCTTTGAACCCGAGTGGATTGATATCACTGCCAAAAACCTGGAAAAGATAGTTATGGGCTTTTTCGCCACTATTTAGATAGTAGTAGTTAAGAGTAGTGAATTTTCTAAACCATTAAGCCTCTTCAATAATGCTATTTCTGTTGGGGAACAAACGAGTATCTTTTGTGGCTGAAGTTGATTACTCATTTTACACGTATTGCTTCCAATCATCTCAACGCATGCCATTTACAAGCTACTAATTTTTGGTACGGATATCCGGCATAATCTGTCTTTATTTTTGTCTTCTTTCTGTCATTCTTTGCCTTTGAGGAATATAGTTTAGAATTATCCACAATGGCGCGGATGTATTCACTTTATCCTCCTCTTGATCTTAAATCCCAGTATTCCTTCATGCACACCTTTCTTGTCTTTCTTTTCAATCCACATTCAAAATATTTAGTCTTTCTCATTATCATTGAGACTACATTATGTAGACTTGTTTACTTTTCGTCTCATTTTTGCAGTGAAGTGTAACAACTTGGACTCATGCACATTTACGCTAGGCTTCATGTCGATTATGATTGACAGTGAGTACCAGGCCATTTTGTGTCACTTATAATACCGTTAGTTTTGTTTATATGACAATCACTTTTGTTCTTATCCTTTTCAGTACAGGACCTTGAATAATCTCATCACTGTAAATGTTGGGCTGTGATTGTAGTGATGATGATCTTGATAGATTACTTGAAATTGATGAAGAAGTAAAGTATGAAAATCAACAATTACCGATTGTCGACTTGGACACAAATAACCGCTCCCCAAATCCTAGCCATAAGAGAACTCTATCACTGGATTTAGAGCAATGTAATTATTATTATTATCTCTGTTGATAAATGTTTTAGGTAGCTCATCAAAAATATTAAAGACATTAGTGGCTGACCATGAGGAGGACAAGCTCCAAGATAATATTCAGCCATGTACATCTATACCAACAAATGCTGGTCTATTGAAAAGGATTCCATTGGTCGGGGATTATGTTTCATTGACGTTTAATAGTGGTGAACGATTTTATCTGAGTTTTGGTGAATCCGACATTGATGATTTACCTGATAAATTTAACAAGTATTCTTGTAACTATGAATCATCAGATTTGGTGTATAAAGCTGAGGAACTTGTAAGCCTTTTCAATTTTTTGTTGTCATGTATCTATTTATATAAATATGTATCAGCTGAAGAATTCCAAGTCTAACATGATCATTGCACAAATCGGAGAGAAACACGGAGAATCTGGTTTCGCACAACTATGGACTACAAAATATTCCCCATCTACTTATTTAGACTTGATATCGGATGAGGTAAATTTTGTCGATTAATATTCTTGGTATTTCCACACTGTAAGTAGTATGTACATGTTTTTGTTCCTTCGCTATAGTGTAGATTATAGATATGTTATCCTGTCTAATGTTTAGCCTGTGGTTGACGTGTATGTATGTTCTTATTTCTTTGACCTCATTTGCTGTATACAGCGATTTGCTTTGTACAAGAGTTAGGTAAGGTTTTAAATTGTGGCAATATCCTCTATCTAACCTGGTGTATGTTCAGTTCGAGTTTAACTGAGGTTATTATACTATACGAATTTTCCATTTAGTGGTCAAACTTAAACCACATATATAGGACCAAGCAAATGTGCCTAGGTGATTTTGCTCATACTTACTCTCGATAAACAGCTACGTCTAGATTTATAGTTGTAGACAAGTTACTCGTAGCAAATCAACTATTTAACATCGAATGATTCACTGTTTTGCTATTTTTTCCAGTTGTGAAGTTTATCTTATTTTTAAATTCTATCTGCTTATTGCCACCACGCTAATAAAAAGTTGTTTCATTGCAGACTACTAATCGAACTCTCCTCAGGTGGTTGAAAGCCTGGGACCCATATGTATTCGGGACACCAGTACCTAAAACTCAAGTTAAGTCAAACCCGAATCCAGGGCTGGTACCATACAAGTCGAATGATATTGAAGCTAAAGCTGGTGAAATTAATCCTCGTGATGGACTACCTCTATATAGACTGGTGTTAATTTCTGGACCTCCAGGTTTAGGAAAAACTACTCTTGCTCACTTGTTGGCACAGCATGCTGGATATCAAGTAGTTGAAATAAATGCGAGGTTTGTTCTTGACTTACACCCGAATTACAAATTATCCTTATCAATTCCCCTAGGCGTATTGATTTTGTGATAAATTTGGTGGTTAAATTTTATGCTTAGCTTCAAATCTTACTGTGATTCTCGCTTTAGATATTTATCTGTGACCAATAGTTCATATAACTGACTCGCGTTTTCTTATCAGTAATGTCTGGTTTTCCACTATCAATGTTTAATACTGGCAGTAGTGTGAACAACTGTTTCTCTTTGAAGAAGAAAGTAACTCAGTGGGAGAAATTTCTTTTTGATAGTTTATGTACTTGGGCTGTACAATCGTACTTATAGTTAATTCCATTTGCTAAAATATTAGCCCATAGTAAAATAGAATAGTGTTGAATAATTGAAGGAAGCTTGATGTGGTATCTTGTAATGAATTTTTACGAAAATCAGATATTGAAATTTATGTGATGATCGGCTAGCGAAAAGTGCTAAGGTGAAGGTAAATGTCCACTTGATAACTCAAGAACAGAATACTTAAGAGCTTTAATAATGGCTAATTAATAATTATAAAAGTAGTTGGAAAGGAGTAGAAACGAAAAAAAGATAGATTATGGAAGATAGAAAAGAAGATTAAGACCACGAAGTTCTACGTTGTTACTGACTGACTCATTCAGTAAGATACTTTCTAGTATTACATATTGCTTATTGGATTAGTGCACATCATTTTTACGTTAGTTATCTCCCAACCTGTAATATACAAATGAGTGTATTATTTTTATTGTGGAGTTTTTTATCCACTATCCTGGTTATTGTTTAGAAGATAGTTTAGTTCAGAGAGCAGTCTAGTTGCAAACTTAGTTTTTAGACTTAATCTCTAATTTCATCACGGTATGGTTATCTGCTTATGTTACTATTAGCTCTCACACAAAAGTGTAAATTGAAGCCATCTACTTAGACCTGTACTTAATTAGTGAGTTAATAATTATCTATATCATTCTTGCTTGTTATATTTTCAGCGATGATCGTAGTTTAGGTGTATTACGTGATCGTTTAACGGCAGTCGTTTCTAGTTCAACCAGTTTAAATACGTCAAAGAAGACAAGTTTTGGTAATCATGGAACAAAGCTTAAGCCGTGTTGTTTGATCATGGATGAAATAGACGGAGCTATGCCTGTAGTAGTTGAACTATTAGCGAATGCTGCGAAAAATACTTTGTCGTCTAATACTGAACGACAACAACAGCGAAATAGACGTGCTAATCCTCCATTAGTTTTACGTCGTCCTGTTATCTGTATATGTAATGATCTGTAAGTATGGTAATCTAATTTATTTGAATATATTACTTGTTATAATATGCACTGGTCAGTGTGATTTATTGGTTACTACAATCTTATAGGCTTGGTTTGATTCAACCATTCAGTCATACGTGACGTGGAACCTAGCACATTTGTGGATCAGTTCAATTTGCTGCACAACATCAGCACGGCGAGTTTCCAGAGTAGTAGAGTTAGTTATATCCTTAGTGACAGTAGGAAAAATTAAGCATAGAAAAGATGATTCAAGAAAAAACATACGAATTCGTGGAACAAAATTATCTCAAACAATTTAGAATCTGAGGACCTTATTTTTACTTATTTGTTTATTTATTAATTTCAAACACAAATATCGGTACAAGTAGGCAGCAAGATAAACATGCACCATACAAACAAGACAATAAAATGTGTACAGCTTGAATCAACAGTATCTGAAGACGGACAAGGTAAATATATCTGTCTCATTGGTTTGATTGATTAACAGTGTCATAGGTAAATACATTTTAGATCAGTATGTTATTAATGCAATCTTTCAAGACTGATTTTGTCCAAAGTTCTTTACTTAAAGTATTCGAAATATGTGCATTCTGTATAAAATTCTTTCATTTGTGTTAATCTTTTCGCACCAAAAAGAATCTGATTTCTAATCACAATAGATATGTTTGTCAATCGAAACGAACATTTTTAAATTTGCGATAGCTGTGCTATTAAGAAATATTTCCCTGTGCTAAAATATGTATTTAGTTGGTATATATGCCAGTATCAAAAAAGTTATTTGTGTACTTTACAGATTGACCTTAACTGGGTACCATTGGAAACCAGGAAACATTAGGAAGCTTCTTCGTTTTAGCATAAGGCTCCTCATTAGTAGATAACCACGACTTAGACAGAGATAGAATTTGAGACCTTCAAGTTTATTGGTGTGCGTTTAACTATTGAACTGCTGGGTTAACATTCATTGGTATTCAGTGGTCTAATAATTAAGTACTCTTCATGTGACACTAAGGTCCTGAGTTCGATTCCTAATGGTAGTGGTAGGTTCGTGTACCCTGCTAAGCATTCCTATTCGAAATAAATCTTAGGTAAACACCACCCACTAATCAGAAGGCATTTCTACAAAAACCCCTCCTTAAGTAGCTATTTGTGAGCTCTTTTGTAAAAATTACTTCAATAAATTACGTATTTTTGTAGGTTCACTTACTGTATAAATACCACATTTGGTTTGTGAAAACATAGCGCAGTAAATTGCCACGCTCCAAATTGTTAGATGTCAATATAAGAATAAATATCTGCCCAAGTCAATAAATCATACTTAAAAATGTTAGCTGGTTTAAGTTTTATTGGTAAAGTTATAAGTTTACAACTGGAATATCTGCAAGTGACAATTTAATTAATATAACCTATTTTACAAGATAAAATGGGTAGTTTTGCGTTCTTATAGAACTTAATCATCTGTTAGTTCGATACGGGTTTAACTGTGTTGGATGCCCATTGGAACCCATTTAGTTTCAAAATCAGCTTTTTTATTTATGGAAACACCGTTGCTTAGTAGTTTAAACGCTCGACTTCCAACCACTAGATCATAACTCCCAACTTCACCGTGATTTCTTCTCCATCACGCAGAAAACATAAACCAAAGCTTTGTATGGGAAATAGAATTCTATCACTGAATTGTGTTAACTTTCCATTGGTTCAGAAATAAATCATTTCTCTGAAGTAATCGTTGGTATATGCTTTTGTCTTTGAATTCTTTATATTAATTAAATTGTAAAATACATTTTTGTTTCTCACTACTAGATATTCTCCATCGATTCGAGCGTTACGAGCTCCCGGAATACCTTGCTTAACTATACGTATACCTATTGTTGACTTAGGTCGATTGGTTTCTAGACTTGATTTAATAACTAAAACAGAAGGATTATCTCTTGACAAGATAACCCTTACACAATTGGTAGAAATGTCTGATCGAGATATTCGTTCGTGTTTAAATACATTGCAAGTTAGTAAAAATTTCCTTTGGAATTATTTCTGTATACATTATTATTTCACTTTATCCAGGGATAGTTATTTGTTTATGGATTTCTATTTGGATAAAAAACCCATTCACACATTGATTACCGTGAATTCTTTTGAAGTTTGCATCAATACTTATAACTTATTTGCACTAGATCATTGTTAATTAACAGTTCATACATAGTATTATTGAAACATGCTGTTAGAAGGGCAATGAAATTAATATTTTAGTTAGCTGTATTTCTCAGAAATTGATAGTAATTGACGAAAGTCTTAAACGCTTTTAGAAATCAATTCTCTAACCCAATTTTCTAAATGCAAAACTACTATACTTAATTGTATGTTACTGGCAAATGGTTCTGTAACTTTAATTGTTAAGTCTCTAAGCAGATTCTGACCAAACAAAATAATTTGCTACTCTTACTGATTACTTATTTAAAACGAAATCGGTTTCGTTTACTTTCAAACTACAGTAATAAGAGTTAGTAAGTCCATTCCTAATGAATAGTATCCAACTGACAACTATCTGTTGACATATTAAGTATAATCCCACAATAAATATCAGGATGCTAGCTGAAAATCAGTTGTATAAACGGAGTTAATCAAGTGAATAATGAGGTTGTCATTAGTTCTTTCAACACATCATGTAAATTTATCTTGGATTTATGGATTTACAGACAAAGCCCACTAGAAAACTAATATGTTGTATCGTAGATGTTTTCATTACACTACATTTCAAAATACTTGAAAAGAATCATATGCTCTACTGATCACAGCGTTCAGATAATGTAGAATCAGTATGTGTCTAAACTAATAAAACTAATTGTGTAGCTCATCGTAATTATCAGAAACAAGAATTCACGTATCATTAAAATTGCCTGAAAGCACTAGAAAGCCGTTTCGTCGTAGTATGGGGCTCCTCAGCGGCGCACATCCATGATCCCGCACGCGGGGTTCGAACCCAGGACCTCCGGTCTCGTGAGCGAACGCTTAACCTCTAGACCACTGAGCCGGCATTCAAGGGAACATGGCCGCGCAATTTCATGGATCGGTTGAAATTAGACATCGATACCACTAAAATCCAACTCAATAGTCTAAAGGTTAGGCGCTCGCGCGTGAGTTTGAAGGTTCCGGGTTCGAATCTCACGTGTGAGTCGTGGATGCGCACTACTGAGGAGTTCCATACCAGGACGAAAGGTCCTTCCAGTGCTTCCAGGTTTTGAATGGTGGTCTAACATTAATCAATTGATGATCTCAATCAAAACTCAACAATTTCCGCAACCACATACTTATAATTAAACTTACCTTTGAAATTGGCAGCAAGTCTATTTTATAATTTAAATTGGTAATTAGGAGATTTTCGAAAGTAGTTTGTCTACGGTTTCCTGTCATTTAGTACCACTATTATTCCTCTTGTTGATTGATTATTCCATTCACATAGTCGAACTGCTGACAACCCTAACTAGAGTGCTCAATTTCTTGAGGATATGAGTTAAAAACAACATTGTGTATGGGGTTTCGTTAAGGTGGAATAATAAGAGTAACATAATATTTAATAGATTTCGAGCGATCATATTATATTCATAAAAAAATGATTACAGTACCTATGATGGTCATTTATTCAAAAGTACTGGGTTTGCTGAAAATGATAAATCACAGCTTGAAACGTCTGCCTAGAGAAATAGCTTGATAGGCGAATCAAATATTGTTGATTCTTCAAAAGGTCACAATACTTTTTTAAAAATATAGAGTATATATATATATATAATTACAGGAAGACTGGGCCGAAACTATTTTGACCATATTGTTAACCTTTGATGTCTTCTACGGTATATTTAAAAGGTGTTTCTTGTTAAATGTATACGTCTACTGAAATCTGATGATGTAGCTGTCTTGTGATCATAATATTCGTATATGTCTGACACATATAGAACTTCCAATCAACCCTTACTTTTTTCAAACCATAAGTCAGTGCATAATGCATGCCAGTTCGCCAAAATCACAGATTTCAGTTGGTTTAGATTTAAAAATTTACTGGTAGCTTAGCAATCACTCTCCGACACGCCTTCACTACGTAGACTTGAACTTTACAAATGTATCAGTAATATGGGACAGGGCAACGGATACATTACAGTGTTTATTTAATATATATGCATAACCTTCAACCACCCATGTGCATGTTGCGATGTGTTCTGGAATCCGAATTGTCTTCTCGTCTAGTTTTCAAGTACCTTGCTTACGCCGTGCTTTTAATGTACTGATCCTCTTCTCTTTGTTTGACGACTGTGACAGTCTTGAACCTGCGTCCTGATACATACTACTTACAGGTAATTTTGTGTGTAGCGTCCACAGTAGGTGTACATCGATATGGTTTCTTCATTTTTCTCATTGGCCCTGTTTCTACGTTACATAATAACAGGACAAACTACGCTCGACAGCCGTCAGTTCGTTCTAAAATATTCTAAGATTCTGTCCCAGAGTTTTAGGTATTTTTCTCACTTGTCGAGGTTTCATTCTTTCTACTATCCCAGTAGAGAAGGGATATATTATTCTACGTTATGACCTTTCTTCTGATAGCATATCAGTATCAACCAATACTTTGATTGACTGCATATCTTTTATTACGAATACAGACTGTAAATTCACTCAAAGTTTTTAACCTGGTATCTAACTTAATTCTTAACTATTTTCATTGATGTTTACTCTGAGATTGTTTGGGGTAAACTTAATTTGGTTGAGCTAACTGTTACATATGAGAAGTAGTGTTTGCATAACACGAGTACTCGTAAATTCATTTTACGACTATACCAGAGTAATAATGGTAATAATAATAATAATAATAATAATAATAATAATAATAATAATAATAATAAAGTCCCTCCATTTTGTTTTAAGTGTAAAATACTATGTGTAAACGGACTGGGCAATCTTAGTATCTGATCCCAATTAGTGTGTGAATATTTTATTATTATCGAAAAGCTTTAGAGTTGATGATAAAAATGTTTTGTTAATAAAAACTACTTATTCTATCATTTCAAATGATAGGACATGACACTAAAAATTCATATTTGTCGTTGATGAGAAATCTTTCGTCATATGTTTTAAAGAACTACTTTGTGTTTCACATATATTTCAAAGATTTTCTTTTCTTTTCAGTTCTTGAATTCAGTGAAATCTTTAAGTAATAATATAAACCATAAATCAGGTTGTTTGTCAGTGAATGATATCTTATCACTGTCCCAATTTCATAACGGTGGTCTGAAAGATGTTCAGAAAAGTGTATTTGATGTGTGGAAAGCTGTATTTACCATTCCTTCATCTCGTTTACTTTCAAATCGAAGAATAACCAGGTCTGAATACAATAATAATAATAATAATAATAATAATAATACAAGGAGAAGATATGGTAAAAATCATGATACTCAATCTGCTAGGTAAATTTTGCATATTTTTATGTATTGTATTCTACAGCAGTTAGATAATGGTGATAATAATAGATTTGTTGGACAAGCATTAGTGTCAAATTCTATATTTTTAACGACTGATTAATTAACTGAAGTTGAATAGTTCATTTTGCTTTATTATTTTGTCCAGATTATTTTACGAATATCTAAATGTAACCCCGAATGCCTTGTTACGGCTGAGGGTTGGGAGAGCCCACTCTCCCTCTCGAAATTCTATCATATGTCCACGCGTATGTAGCCACTACCAGGGAAGTCCTACTCACTGCTTTATCGCGGCGAGGTTGTTATTCGCGTTTTTAAGAGGACAAAAAGCGTATTTCCGGCGCTTAAATTTGGTTGGTTAGTACGGAGGGTCCACATACAGGAGTTGAAAAACTGCGATTCCAAGCCAACGCAGCACATGAACTCCAGGATTGTGAGGGAGCAAATGGCTCATGAACCTATTGCCGGTTCCTGGCCACCATGGGACTTAATCGTCTAACGTTACCCCACTGTCTTTGCGGATTAAACCTCTAGGTAAAAGGCTCAGGGCGTGGCCCTCTAAGAAAATCACTTGTCTTAGTTGAGGCACCCGGACCGTATTCCTGTCCATACAAATTGGATGATAACTGCTTTGTGTGGTGCATATATATTTCGGTGCTCCTTTGTACTAATGCTTTTGCGTTTAAATTAATAATCAGTGTATCTCACTATTGCACTAGCAGTCAGTATAGAAATGATATAAGGATATTTTAAATGCATAACAATGTAGAGTTTTTTTTTTACAAATCTATTAAGATTCAAATAAATTATGTAAAAAGGTTTGTTAGTTGATTATATATTTTTATAAGAATTTTTCACCATAGTACTAGCATTATTGTATCATCCAAAAACATGAGTGTTATGATGAAATTCTAATTCTACAAAGTAATTTCTCTAAACTTTTATTAAAGTTTAAAAGAACTGTTTTGCGAAATTCCAGTACTGATTCTATTTAAGATATTACATACAAACCGGTAATTCACAGATTTCAGCTCTTCACGCATTATGGTTTAGTCAGCTGAGTGGTATCATTAACTCCCAAATAAATCTTTTTGCTCATAATCAAGTACATAAATATTTACTAGATAAAGAAATTACATTACTAATCGTTGTCTCCAGTATTTAGTAATTATTAATTCTAGCATTGCTTAAATTTATTCTGCATACTTTCAATTTGTATCACTATTACTATTGGATATAAATTGTTGCTTATACTTATCTATTTAAAAAAATATTAAGACTAGCCTATATAATGGACGTTACAGAAGCTTCTACTGATCATCAACAAATCACACTGGGTATATTTGAGAATTATCTTTATGGTCATTTAAAGGATGCTACCTTACGAGTAGTAAGTTTTAATTGTTCATATATCTCGATTTGTTATATATATGTATTCTTGTTTGAAATATTCTAGTTTCATTATTCTTGTCTATTTTTCAGGCTTGTCAGGCATCTGAGTGGTTTGTGTTTGACGATTTGCTTAACACTTGTGTACAAACCAAATCGAATTATTCACTCCTACGTTATGCTAATTTCTTGCCTTGCTGGTTTCATATGGCTTTAGCTACACCATCAGGTCTTTTCAACAAATTTACTACTGCTAATAACACATCAACCGGAAATGTCAAATATGTAGGCGGTTTACGTTGGCCTTCTACTCCTTTGGAAACTGCTGCCACTCGTTCACATTATTTGGGAATATTGGATCAGTTATATTCAAACCAATGGAATCTACCTCAATGTAAATCTGATAAGTCTGTCAGTAATTTTAACAGTTTTCGGTATGTAGTGAACAGAATTTTTTGTGTGTGAATGGTGAAAATTAGTTCTATGTTCTCTTATAACTCAATATGTTGGGAATGAGACCTGTTGTCTAATGATTGCACTTTTAGTCTTTTCATACAGCTAAAAGTTTGTTTGAGGATGTTGTTAATTGTCAGATAAACTCTCTCAAATACTAAGTGCTTACCTAGATTTTTAGCTATTGTATTAGATTATAAAAATATACGATTAGCTGTTGAAAAACAAACTCCTTTTTATTCCTGTTTGAAATTGTATCATTGAATAATATGATACATAAAAGCTTAGTTTTTCGATGTAAACAGGTACAATAATACTCTTTTCCGTTTCTATTAAAATGACTTAATTTGAAACATTATTCAAAATAATTTTTATCAAAGGACAACAAAGCATATCGAATATTGTGTAGTTTCTGTCTATGCATCTCACAACTTGATTTCATGTGTTCATTGATTATTTTAAATAAATGACTAGAATTCTATTCTTTTTGATTTCTCATATGTATTCACTTACTTCAGTCGATGTCGGGTATTATTAGATTATCTTATCAGTCCATTAGTTATAAGCAACATAGAACCTGGCACAAATGTGCACTAACTAAAGTTGGGATAATATGTCAATACAGTGGAATGAAATGAATACTGTGGTATTAGCAATCGTAGCATTAAGTAACTGGTGAGTATGGTTCGAGAAGAAATAAATTAGCAGAATAAACAGCATAATTTAATGTTGAAACTCAGAAAATAGTAGACAAAGACTAAGTACATCTGTGGTAGTGCGTTCAATTCTGAGCCATATAACTGGTTGGTAAGTGCCATTTAATTTATTTAAAATTATCAGTGAGTCCGATTCTTGCTTGATGCTTTGTATTTATGTTCTAAATAAAGTTCTTCTTCTACAATATCGTGATTCGTTAATGTCGTATTATTTTTGATGATAAAATTTCCTAGATTTCTACCACGTCGTCATTTTTTATTAGATATGGCACCTACTTTAATTACTCTTTTGAGTATGATCGCTTCCACTCTTCGGCCGTTGAGTGCACAGTTGTATAGTCAACATGAGAAATTAGCGCTTGACAATTTAGTCAATTTAATGTTAAATCTTGGTTTGAATTTGTTAGCAGAACAGGATTCTGAGAGTAACGAAGTTCAATATCAACTTAATCCGTAAGTACAATTTGTTTTGTTTTTAAAAAGATTCAATATGTCGGCGTTTTGTACATCATCACTAGATTACATAGGAATCGTGTGATTACTACTCAAAATATGCATTATATAATAGAATGAGAGCTTGTGCATGTTGTGTGTGTATGTGTAGAAACTATCATATGTCATAATACTAGTTCTCTATTGAAAATAGTTTCGCACTAGCTGAAGTTAATAATATAAGCTGTTGAGTTTTAATTCAGTGCTTTTGATAACACTAAATGGTCCTGTTTTCGATACGATGTCGGGTTCTGGGTGGACACCGCTCAGTATTAACTGCCGTAATTTTATTTAAGAAGTTTCATCAATCCTTAGTTTGCTTACAAATAACAGACACTATCCTACATACTGATGAAGTATAGTTTAATTTAGTGACAAACGAATAGTTTTCATTTAGCCACCATGAATCAGAAGCTTAAATCAATTATTTTTTTTTACTTAACAGATGAGTGGCTTATAGAATAGTTGAAGTTAATATTTGAGATAGGCTTATCGGTTATAAATTTTCTTTGTACCGTTCTGCTTTGAAACTAACTTTTAAAATATGAGTGTCATATAATATTTCAGGCCGTTAGATCTTGTTGCTTGTTTCACAAAGACAAGTAGTTTGAAGTCACTTGGATATGCTACTAAACAGTTTATTGCACGTGAGTTAGAAATCGAAAGAGTTCGACGTTCTGAATCAATGATTAATCGAAATGTCAGTAAGTCAGAAGCTTGTAATGCCACCACCAAATCGGATTCCAAACCATCACTCGAGAGTTTAATGGATACTGTATCACAAAAATCAAAACTTATTGGTACAAAAAGTTCAAAGGTATGGTAAATTTAACATTCATAATTATGTAACTTAAGCAAATATTGATGTTCATAGCTTTTTATAATGTTCACTCAATTTGCTATTTAGATCACTTAGGTATTTTTTCTGACATTTATATGTGAAATTAATGTATAATGAAAAGTAAATAGAAACCAAAGTATATCTTCTCATTACTTGTAAAATGTGTCTGATATAGATAAAAAATAGTTCAGTTTAATGAAATGATTACTTGTTGGTTATCTTCCTGTAACTTAGATACCTGTCTCAACATTAATAGAAATTATTAACTCCTATACACATAAATTTAATAATCTTAACTGTTTATATTTTTTGTGGTGTATTAGTGTCCAGCTATCTTCATTTCATTAAAAAAAAATTATTTGAGGAGTGATATAGACACAGATGTAAACATTAGGTTAGTAATTCATCCTTTTCAATTATCATAAACTCGGAATTTTTCTAAAGTTATAAGATTATATTACATAGAAAACTACTTCGCCATTAGAAGTTTATAGTTATATACATGGTTAATATCATAATTCATTTACCAAACATGAATTAATAAACTCAACTGTGTGTATGAAGGATAATCTTATTTTATGGTTGATAAAACTGAGTTAATTGAAAGGGAATTCATAATAACAACTAAAAGTCAATTACCTAAAATACTTATTATCTAATTTAAATATATGGTAAAGTTATATTAAACTTTTGATAACTGTACTATCCCTACAATTTCAGCTTTACTGGGTTTTTTTTCGCAATAAAACTGTATGCCTACATATCTAATCATGTGCATATTGGAATCAAAATATTGCACTGACATGTACTTTGAAGTAATTTCTAACCTGGGGCTGACATTAATAATGTTTAGCGGGAAGTTGTCAGTTATTATATGCTTGTTTTCTTGGTTGTGAATATTTCGTAATTTATTTATATCCTAGTACATGTTTCAGCGGTCGTTATCCACGGTTCTGAACGAAGATCGTGGTTGTTAACATAATAAATAACAATTTCATACTTGTTTTCTATTCCTGATAGTCTTAATTTGGCTAGGTTGTTTTTCTGACAAAATTTTGACCGCTATATGGATCTTATCCAATGATGTTGTCCTTAATCTCTCGTAGAACTATGTTTAAATTTTTTGAGTTCAAAAATTTTAGCGCTTGATCAAACGTTTGTTTTTCCGACTTTCCTAGGTGAAAAAAGATTTCTTTGGACGCATAATCAATGAAAAAATGAATATTTCTAGTACTGTGAATACAACTGAAGGTAAATCGTGTTCTTTTTATATGCCATTAATGTACAACAGATTGCGGTGAGCAAAGAGAGTCCATTGTCGACCGAGATATTTACTACCGCTTTAAGGAGGGCTACTCAAATGCAGTCCGACGACCGGTTACTATGAAAGAATTCTTGTAAATGAACTTGGAGCTTTTACAAACATTTTAAGTGTAGTTGCAGAGTAAAAGTAATTTCACTTAGTACTTCATTTTCTTGTTAATTAATCCTATTGTTTGTCTGCAGTATTTTGGATTTCCACAAATTGATTCTTTTGTATGTTTGTCGAAGAATTGACAACTGCGAGTTGGGTCAACTATATATATATCTTCATTATTATGTATGCAGTTGCATATGAGTTTCCTCAGGATACTCAGTTATTTTGTGAGATTTCTCATTTACAATAGTAACCCAATACAATCAGTTTTCTCTCTGTTACTGTATTTACACGTATCGATTCTATGTATGTAATGGTCAGTGTTTTTAGAACTAGTTATCACTTGTTCGTCTTATTTTGTAGCTAACTTTAAAATGATTTAACAACTGAATTTTATAACTATTTTCTGAAACGTAGCGGTTGCAGAGGATTTACTCGAACTGTTTTGATCCAGGCTCCCTAATAAACATCATAATGCACTATGATCATTCTTATCCGCAACATTTACCTATAACTTACTTTTGTGTGTGTTATAACTTGTGAACCTATGTGCCCTGTATATTGTATAACGCAACGACACCGCCAATCAGAGAGCAGCGGAGTATCGATCGAACCAATGATGCATAAAACACGTGTGAGCAGCCTAGAGTCCAGATTAGTCCTGCTCTCCGCCTAGCTCAGCCAGTTGAGTCCAGAACACCAATCTCAGCCTTTACAATATGAATCATTATATTTCAAACATACTGAGTTTATATACCAATCAAACAGACCAAATCGTACCATAAAATAGGAAAAAACATCTATACAAGAATTAGCCAGATGTGGGTGTGAATGAGGGAAGTAGTGATTAATATACTGGGTATAATTCAAGAATGGTAAAACGTATCATAATAGTTTATGGGTCAGAATAAAGCTTATACTAAGAGGAATATGAATATGCATAGTTTGGTTATTTAATAATCATACAATATGAATATACGTTTAGTATTGGTCCATAAATGGATCTCAAAAGGTACTATTCATTATTCTTGTCGGGACACAACCATGTGCTTCAGTTATTTGTACATTATTTACACTCAACAAAAGTTCCGTCATAGTCCCGTTGCAGTGAGCATTCTTAGATAGTGAGACAGCTACGGTCTACTTATACACTTGTTCAATAATAATGGTGACGTCTTCCCGTTTGCCCACAGATGTTCTTGTAATTCAACCGATCGTCACGAGGTACATGCATCCGCATTTAAATATATGTGTATCCCACCCAAATATATATAAAGACATATACAACGAATGGTTAAAATACAGTGATATGCATATGTACCCGGAAGGCCTCTAACACTTGTATCGCTTATTTGACACCACCAGGCGGATAGCAGTAATATATTTACTTCATGGAAAGTCGTGCTTGTGTCTTGTTGCAAAGATAGTCATGTTACGTAAGTCGCCGTTGTCGATATCTATTGCTGGGTCAGCATCCTTATACACTGACGTCTGTTAAGGTACCGAATATTTTTTCTCAGCTGTGGAAAGTTTAACTTACCCGAAGTACTTACAGTCGATTTTCCAGAGTTGATTGCAGTTACAGGAGTGAATATATTATAGACTGAGACAAATTACACATTAAGCACTACACAAGTTGTGTAACATAACTGGTAAGGCAATTGGATTATAATGATAAAACATCCTGTAAAATATTAGTTAGATTGCATTGAAATGTCTTATAATATCCTATCACTAGTTGACTTGATATTAACTTTTCTTTCTTCACTCAAAATTGGAGTCTGTTATGACACAAATGGTCCACGACGAAAGCTGTCTCCCATACCATCTACATTGTGCACTGAAAACTAGTCTGTAGTAACCTACTTTTATCAAGGGAATGTGATTGGTGTAATGGAGATAATTATTATCACAACCGATTTGTTAGGGATTGTTTTACAGTACTTGTTTGTTTAACTGTACCAAAATATATACATTCTCCCGTTGCTTGTGACCTTGTATGTATTTGGTTATGCTCAGTAACCACACTTGTAACCTGACACGATCTCGGTATCCTTTCGATACCACGAGATCGCCAACAAATACATCTCGAATACAGCCATCAACTGCCTTCTGATATTTGGTCTACGGGGGATCTCATCGGTTAACTGGCACGTAGTCTTCCTGTAGTGGTGATCATAGTCAACCGCGACTCGTTGCCTTACTACAAGTCTTTAAATATAAGTTGTGGTGGTTGGTAATTCCCCTGGTCAGTTTTGGATCACAATTTTTGTAATCACACCATCATTCCCTTTCTTGTTCTTGCAAGATTAGGCAGTGCTCTTCGAACCTGAAGGTTCCAAACGAATATCTGCATGCACAGATTACACATTAAATTGATTCTCTCACTGTTTGAGATAGCGTTCCAGACGCCGGAGATATCGCAAGATAGTGATGAAGCACTGATTTCAGTGCCTGTTTTGTAATTCCCAGGCCTTTGCTGATATCCGAATTTATTGACTCCGAAATAGTTTCATGCTGTGCAGACTTAATTCTTGTGACGACGGCGCACTTGGTTTCTTTTCATATTTTAAGGCAGCACTTTATTTAGACTGAATTTAGTCATTGGACTGTTATTTCAGGGATGCCAAACTGACTCGTTTATTGAACCAACTAATAGAATAATGTCGCTTGTAAAGTTTAATTTGTGACTTCATCGGACTTATAACTTTATGCATAAATGTAAATACTGGTGATCCCTTCCAAACCACTTGAGAATATCAAGAAAAAAAGAGATTGTTAATCTACAAAATCTAAAGTTGAGAGTAATGCCAAAGGGAATATTTCAAATAGTTATGGAAGAAAAGAATGTGTCGTTCACTTAAATGGTCATTTCTATTGACAATATATTATTGAAGTCTCCTAGTAGAAACTAAGCAACAAACAATGGGGGTAAAACCGAGGGCGAATGTCTCGACTTGTATTAGGTGTCTTGAGGTGCTTCTTCATTTAAACTAAGTGTTAAGATCGAATTCTGCAGCCTGGTCAAAATCTGGCTCACTTACCTATCAGTTCGCTCAAGTTTATTGTTCTGCAGTTTTATGGTCACAGTCGTAATTTACCTGTTAGGTCTGATTGCAAGATGCTCTGTAGCAGCATAAAGCTCAGGTGTGCAGTATTCGTTTAAATGACGTACGATGCATGCCCAAAGTTGATAACCGCAGTTGCTTGTATTTGAACTGGTCTATAAATGAATGAGTACACTTGATAGTCCTGTAGATCACCAACGTAGATGACCTATGTCGAAATGATTGGAGGCCTACTCGAGTTAGTCGTGAATGGTGTGACGAACCAACTAACGTCGAAGTCACACCTCGTGGTCATCCCCTTATGTGGACTACCTCCATTGACGTATCAAGGTACTACAGATGCTTTGAAGACTGTACAACACAAAGGACGTTATTACAGAAATATATTAGTTAAAGTAGATACAAGCGAATATAAGACCACTGCCGCATGTGCCAGTACATGGCATACGATTAACTAATCGCGTTGGCTGTACATGACCTTGGCAGGGAGCGATGATCTGTTCGACATTCAGTGATCCAACTGTCGGGTGATTTGGCCAGGGCTCAGTGACATTTCACTGGCCATACATTCCACTTCAATTTCTCCCGCGTGTTTGTGTGTTACCTTGCCACAAAGAATTGCTAAAAATTATCTTGAGGTTCTCAGTTAAATCGGCCTGCAAATAACTACATTCGCGGCAAGCATTTTAATAAATGTATCTTTGTAGAAATTTTGATGGTAATGGAATTTTCTGAAAGGTTCGAGACACGCAAGAAAGTAACCAGTCAGTTGTCTGAAGAATATCTACAGTCGGTTTGTTTGACTTCGTTTGTTGACGGAAAATAGTGTGATCTTGTAGTGCGTTGTATCACATGAAATTTGCGCAACCACAACATACAAAGGTTATCATCCATCTGCTACCCGGAAGTGGTCTACAGCTGCCAAATAATAGCTCCGACTCGGTAGCATATGTATTTTTATTGCAGTTGTCACACGCGGCTCCTGCTAGCTCCCTGTATGAGAATCAAACTAATAAGCGAATGAAAGGATAATGGGATGAGAACATCTGAAGATATTCTATGAGCGGGCTATCCAATAACATGTTGGTGTGGTAGGATTTCACCATACTATATCAATTCAAAAGAGAAAGAAATTAACTTGGCTAAGGATCGTTTCTTTGCTGCTCTTAGATAATAAGTCACAAAGCACTGTTGTACTTAGTAGATATGCAGTTTAAACACCATTGCTCGGTCTCGGAAAACATACTCGTAACCATGCAAGAAATAGACTTACTATATATATAGGGAAAAAACATCATCCTTAGTTTTCAGCCATCCAGTCGTATGTTCATTCAAACCCTAAGTGACTTTTTGTCAAATCACTGGTCAAAACTATAGTACAGAAATGGAGCTCATCAGCTGACTCTAAACCACATAAGTTTGGCACCTACAACACATCATTACGGTCAGGATCGATAGTTTTATTGATGCTAGGTTAATTGGTTGGAATAAACTTTATCGGATGTGCTACTTCCAAAAGACAGAGAACAAACTATATAGTACTTTTTGACACAGATACGAGGCGTCTATATTCGGTGAGATTAGAGTATGAATTAGTAGATGTAAGATCTATTTTGAATGTTTTGTGTGTGAAATTCCCTACATGTATACACTAGCAGTTTATTCCTATTGATTCCTTTAGTTGTACATTGTTAATCTTTTTGATTCCAGTTGAGTTGTTAATATATATTTGGAAACACTCTGTGTCATAAAGCAACCAAATATAATCTTTTGAACGAATCTGTGCGTGTTCTATCCAGGCAGGATAGAATAGCATTTATTTGTTGTGATTGGTAATTTTCTCGCATTTTTTTAATCAACTTTCTTATTTATTGTGACTTAAATTTGATTAATTGAACAATTATTAGTTGGATTGCTGGGTGGTCACATTTGTTTAGGTAACGATGTACATTTAAATTTATTATGTATATTAGAACCGTCGTTTCACCTAATTACTTTGTTTTGGTTTCAAACGGGCAATGACGCGTATCTAACCCACCTAGACAGCTATTCTTCAGTCCTAACCTTAGTTTGTACGTTACAATAGATGAATTTGGAAGTCATATGCACTATTTAGATCTATTTTTAAATATGTACATAACTTGCAGATTAATATGGCATAAGACACCACTGTAACACAAATGAGGTTGCATATAGCAACTGACGGACATTGCAATGATCTATTTTTCGTAAACGGGCCCGTCGCATGTAGCTTCATAAGTAAGATCATGAATACTCATTTTACTGTGATGATGAGCTTGCGGTTCTTTCATATTAGCAGAGTGATTCTGGGAAAACTAGTTCGTTCTTCACATGGATATTGATGGGATAGGAAATTTTGCATTCTCTAGAGGATCGTGAGCTGCATGTA